GTATGTCTCAGTCATTTTTTCTTCTCTTCATTCTATTCAATTTTTTTCCTTCCTACCGAAAATAATCTCTCTCTCATTATGAAATTAGTATATTTTATTTTTATTTTATCATAAATACATTTTAAGAAATCCTTATTTCCTCAAGTTAAAAAATGTACGATTTTTTGCACTTTACCTTAATATTATATATAAAAAAAATTGTGCCCATATTATTTAGTATGTGTATATAAATCCTTTAACATTTAAAAATGTGTGAATTACCCAAATATTGGTTGATCATCAATTTTGACTAAATTTTTATTTTATAAAAATTCAAAATACCAATGTTCGGTAGAAAGGCAAGAAGAGGGGTAGAAGAAAAATAGGAAGGAATGAACAAATTTTCTTTATTCGGTAGAGATTAGGCGTGACAAAATAAGTGAGGAACTATTAATCCACCCATATCTTTTTAATGGTTATGAGTGAATCATATTTAATTTGAGGTTAAAATGTGTTGGGTAATTTTTAATCATTTAATTTGAACGTCAAGATGGGTTGAATATGGTTAATTATATTCAACCCATATTTCACCCATCACATAAGAAACACACAACACACATCTATTCTATATTGCACTCAACTCATTTCTCTATCTAAAATTCTTTCACTCACAATCCTCTCTCTAAATTTGTCTCTCATCAATCCTTCTCTTTCTAAGTTTCTCAAATTTCTTCTAAAAAAAAATAAATAATAAAAAAATAATTTTAAAAATTTTAAAAAATTAAAAAATAATTTAAATAATTAAAAATAATTTTAAAAATAAAATAAAAATAAAAAATTTTAAAACCTTTTGAAAAAATAATTTAAAATTAAATTAAAAAATTTTAAAAATTAAAAATTTAAAAAATAATAAATAAATAAAAATAATAATTACATTATAAATCCATGCCTGCTAGTCAAAATTATGTGGTCCCATGTGGTTTCTTAATAGTTCTAGTTCAAGGTATTCCATAATTAATTTTTACCTAGCAGTTCTTATTTTTAAGAGTGTTGAAGACAATCATTGAATACATTTTTATTTTCACCATAATAGGATCCTTCTCCATTTGCCTGCAGATCTCTTCCCTCTCTCTCTTAAATTAGATAGAACCAGTAACAATTTGAGAAAATTTCAATTTAGTTTATGGGTGATTAACTTTAAATTATTTAAAATAAATGCAATTTTTTCCCTGACGCACAATTCAGATTTGAATTCTCCAAAAAATTGTGCCCAGTGAGAATAAATTTAACAGAAAACTATTGGACCATAGATAAATGAAGTTGTTTTTCATTGCAAAGTACGTTCTTTTTCTTTTGAACAGTCACATGTGACATGTGAGAAATTACATGGACGACGTCGGGTTCTCTTAGTTGATATTTCGTCATTCTTGATTTTCTTCTTCTTTCAATGATTGTAGATTTTATCTTTAATAAAATTATTGTATTTGTGAATTTGGAGTCAAGGTTAGTTCAAATACTTTTACTGTTAGATGTTTCGTTATACTATTTTTGCATAAATTTATAAGAAAACAGAAACGGTATCATAAATCCATGCGTGCTAGTCAAAATTGTTATTTTTTTTATTTGATATATATACTTTAATTTATTGCTTTCATATATTACACATACAATAATTAGTTGATGGTTCGAATTTATAACTCTTATCTCTCCATTACTAAATTTTCATTATTTTTTTTGAAAGTGTAAGCTATTTCTTAACAATTTTTTTTATTTTTTATTTTTTTATTTGATATATATACTTTAATTTATTTCTTTTATTAATATACACACATACAATAATTAGTTGATAGTTTATATTCATAGCTTCTATATTCATAACTCCTATCTCTCCATTACTAAATTTTCATTATTTTTTTGAAAGTGTAAGCTATTTCTTAACAATTTTTTTTTTTTTTTTTCATTTGATATATATACTTTAATTTATTTCTTTTATTAATATACAAACATACAATAATTAGTTAATGGTTCATATTCATGACTCCTATCTCTCCATTACTAAAATTTCATTATTAATAAAGTTGTAAATATTTGGTAACTAATCTTACATTTTTAATTGATGGTTCGTATTCATAACTCTTATCTCTCCATTACTAAATTTTCATTATTTTTCTAAAAGTATAAAAAAATAAAGAAAAAAAATGAAAAATTAATAAAATAATAATTAATAAAAAATAATAATTAATGGATTCACGGGTCATAATGGGTTAACCCTGTCTATTTTCAACCCGTTTTGAACGGGATTGAGTATGGGTATTAACCCGTATTGACCCACCCATTTTCAACCTAACCCAAACTCGACCCAACTCGCTCATTTGCCATCCTAAGGAAAGAAAGGATAATATAAATAATGAGTTATCATTCTTCCTTCATAAATTTCATCCATCTAAATATGGGCGGAAGATAGGAGAGAATACAACTGAGCCTATTATAGAAATTTTAAATTATTACATCACCCTTCATAAAGCCCATAAATAAAGTAAGTAATATGTTTAATAGTAAAAATAACTTAAAATTTATTTTTCCGTTTATCCTACTTATCAAATTTAATTGTCAGTTTTTTCCATTCTCTTCCATCCAATTGAAACAAAAAGAGGGAAACACTTAATCTCTTCTCTAGGGATGTCTCGCTCATCATTTCTTCTCCCCATTCCATTCAATTTCTTCCTTCCTACTGAACAGAGAAAATAATCTCTCTCTCATTATGAAATTAGTATATTTTATTTTTATTTTATCATAAATACATTTTAAGAAATCCTTATTTGCTCAATTTAAAAAATGTACGAATTTTATTTTTGTTTTTGTTTTTACACCATAAAAAATATTTGCACAGTACCTTAATGCTATATAATTTAGAATTTCTTGCACTTTACCTTAATATTATAAAAAAAATTGTGTCCATATTATTTAGTACGTGTATATAAATCATTAACATTTGAAAATGTGTGTGAATTACCCCAATATCGGTTGACTATCAATTTTGACTAATTTTTTATTTTATAAAAATTCAAAATATTACCTATGTTATGTAGGAAGGAAAAAAGAGGGGTGAAAGGAAAATAGGAAGGAAGAGATAAATTTCCTTCATTCGGTAGAGATGATATATATATATAAAAAAAGGATAATAGAAAGAATGAGTCATTCTTTCTCGTTCACAAATTTTCATCCGTCCAAATATGGGCGGCAGATAGGAGAGAAAAAGAGTGAGTCTATTATAGAAGTTTTAAATTACTACATCACCCTTCATAAATATTTAATAAATCCTATAAATAAAGTAAGGGATGTGTTTAATGGTAAAAATAATTTAAAATTTATCTTTTCTTTTATTCTACTTATCAAATTAAATTGTCAGTTTTTTCTATTATCTTTCATCAAATCGAACAAAAAGAGGGAAACTCTCTTCCCTAGGATATCTCAGTCATCATTTCTTCTCTCCCTTCCATTAAATTTTTTCCCTTCCTACTGAATGGAAATTTTAGTATATTTTATTTTTATTTTTATTTTATCATAAATACATTTTAAGAAATCTTTATTTGTTCAATTTAAAAAATGAACGATTTTATTATTATAATTTTTTTTGTAAATATTTGCACATTACCTTAATGTTATATAATTTAGAATTTTTTGCACTTTACCTTAATGTTATATAAAAATATACTATAAAGCAATTTATTTTTGGAACTCAAATAGAAAAAAAATGAGCTGAATTATTTCGATCTTAAGTCATCTCAATTTTAGATATATATCTTTTTCAAATACTTGATTTTTTCATTTTTTTTAATAATTGAATGAAAGATGGAAGTAATTTATAGTAATTCTTTTGTAGTTTAGGGATTTTTTTCAAAGTTTGATATATATATATATATATATATATATATTAAAATTTATCTTTTTTTGCTTTTTCAGTAAGTTGAGTGGTTGACAACCCACTCCATGATTGTCTATGTTAATCTCGTGGTATCCTGACACAGGCAATAATTAAATGCTCCTAATCTCTTCTTATCCTCTGACACATAATTAAATGCTCCATTGGAGACAGTGCTAGCTGTTTGAGCATGATTGGCCTTTGAAAGGACTATTATGTCCTGCCTTCCAATTAAAAGGACAATCAAATCCAATATAATTTTTATTTAGAACAATAAAATCACACCTTAATTAAGTTCATAAATTCACTAACAATAATTTTTTTATTATAGCATTTCCTCTCTCTCTTTTTTTTTTTTGGGAAACACATACAGCACCTCCTTTTTTTTCTCGTAAAACATAATTTCAAATATATACTTAATTAATTTGTCAAATATTTTATAGAATTACTAATTTGGTGATTATGTGCTTTTTCACTGGCATTTTAAATTGATATTTTCTCTCCTTCTTTTTAGTTGTCTTTATTATTATTATTATTTTGTTGGGTTGTTTCCATAATAGTTGTTTCATTTTAAGAAGTCAAAATAAAAAATATAAAGGTAATCTTTTCTTGATTACTTTAAATTTTTTTTAACTTATAATATACATATTTAAACTTGAAAGAACAATTTCATAATTTTATAAATAAATTACAGAATAGTCTAACAAGTCTTTTAACAAATTTTTTATATTTATTAATTATAAATCTTAAAAGGGAAGTGCTTGGGTCAAACACCTAGTGTTTATACGTCTCGAATATTTACATTTATTATGAAGTAGTATTAATTAATTTGTTAAATATTTTAGAGAATTGCTTGCTTTTTCATTGTGATATAAATTGATAATAACAAGAATTTTAACAAACTTCTTATATTTATTCATTATAAAATATATAAAATGGGAGTGTAAGAGGTCAATTGTGGAGTGCTAATAACAACAAAAACTACATTTATTGTAAAATAATATAAAATTATTAATAAATAACGAAGCTTCCTCAGTTGTCTTATTAAATAAATCATATTGGTGTATTTTAAATTTTTAACGTAGATTTCGATGGCTTTTGTGCTTCCTTTCTGGGATTAGAAGGCCAAATGTCACGTTTTCGGTTCCGCACAGATATACTATATAAGATAGGGTGCCAGTGAGAGAAGTTTATAGAGAGAGAGAGAGAGTTTTAGAGAGAGAAAACAATGGCGACTCTTACATTTCCTCAATCAGTTTCTGCAGCCGAGGATTGCGAGCAACTCAGGAAAGCCTTCACAGGTCTCAATCTGATCTTGGCTTGATTTGCACTTGATCTGCTCCAAAATTCAAAATTCATAGCTAGACATTCTCGATCTTTGTATACAAGCATATCTATATATACAGATGTATAAATGTGTGTGTGTGTGTGTGTATATATATATATATATATATATATAAGTATGTGCGTATGGTGGATCAGATGCTTGATGTTATTTTCAGGCTTTTAGCATGAAAATATTCACTGTTGATTTGACTATATTGAGTATAGCGTGTTGGTCATGTTTGATTTGATAATTTTTAGTGTTCTGTTGGTGTTAGATCGTTGATTGACTCTGATTTTAAAAATTAAAAATTCTCTTGAACTGTTGATTTATGTCAAAGAAATTTGCTACATCATAGAAATTGTGATTGCGTAGAATTTGTTGTCATTTTTGTTTTTATTTAAAGAATTCTTCTTTATGCTTACATGTGGTTGATTTAGGGGTGTGGTAGGACATGATCGTTAATTGCGGAAGATAAATTTTTTTTATTTTTTATTTTTTATTTTTTATTTTTTTAAGTCACACCTAGTAGGATAGGGCTAAGAGCGTCTCTCTAGTTTGAGAGCCCAACATTGTTTAGAAAAATTATGTAAGTTAGGGCACAATTTCTATGTGATCTACTACTAGTTTAGAAAAATATGTAACTTAGGTCACAATTTCTATGATCTACTACTTATTAGTATGGTGTTAAAAACGAAAGATGTGATCTTTGATTTAGTGAGAGGATATGCGGAAATTGTTGGATGATTGAAAGTTTTTCTCATCTCTACATTGGGTGCATTAGTTGTGGTTATTCAATCATTCCGAGATATGTTGATACGATGGAATTGTTTCTCTCTAACCTTTTACCTTTTTACTGTATGATGATACCTTTACTGTAGGATGATGCCTTTACTGTATGATGATGAATGATGAGGTGGGCTGTTGTGATCAATATATGTGCAGGATGGGGAACAAATGAGGCTTTGATTATTCAAATTTTGGCTCATAGGAGTGCAGCTCAGCGCAAACAGATTCGCGATTGTTATGCTTCAACCTATGGAGAAGATCTCTTGAAAGATCTGGACAAAGAACTCTCTAGTGACTTTGAGGTCAGTTTTTGATTTACTTTTTTTTTTTTTTAAACTTTTTTTATATTAGTTTTAAATGAAAATGCTTTCCATTGCCATTTATGAATTAGCACTGCCTCTAGGAATGCTCATGACTACTGCTGCTTATAATTTGTTTGCTCCAAACAGCGGATAGTTATGCTATGGACATTGGATCCAGCTGAGCGCGATGCATACCTGGCTAATGAAGCTACAAAGAAGTTTACTGCGAGCAACTCAGTTCTAATGGAAATTGCTTGTGCTAGGTCTTCGCATCATCTATTCTCGGTGAGGCAGGCTTATCACGCTCGTTATAAGAAATCCCTAGAAGAAGATGTTGCATATCATACTACTGGGGACTTCCGCAAGGTATATCCCTAAATTTCCAGGCCCTTGTAGATTTGGTGTAAAATATTTTTAGCTTCTATTGTTTTCTATGTATGGATATATATATAAATTTTTGGTTGTAGTTTAGATGAAGTCTTCTGATTAGAAGATGGGGAAAATAATGGAGATTGCTTTATTGAGGTGCACAATTTAGTCACTAAAGCACCTTAAGCATGATGCATTGATTATGGATTCGAACAGTAATTTGCTGTAGTTTAAACTGATATGGGGGTACCAAACTTCTACTTCTCAAAGAGAAGTCAGGCTTCGAGCCTTAGTAAAGGCATGTGTGTGTGAGTACCAACTGGAAAAAAAAAAGAAAAGCATGATCATCTACTGTTGGGTGGGATCTTATATGGATATAAAGCTAATAGCTAATGGTGAATGGCAGAACCAATTGGATTCTTAGTTTTTTTGGATATATTATTCATGAAATAAATCATTGAAAAGGTTTTCTGATAGAATAATCCTAAATAAAGTTCAATTAACCCGCCCGACTTACCAGGCTCACATATGAGCTTCAAGATGATACTTGGATCTCCACAAAAATTAATTTATGGCATTACTCTTGAACAAGTTAGTTAAAAAGACCAGAAAATCGGGACTCAAGTATAATTGTGTTTTGAAACTTGCAAGCATATGTTGATTTATTCAATATAAAATTTTGTCATCTCTTTTGTGTAACTTTGAAACATGTGTTGGCTGGTCATTTACTGTTATTTTAATTCCCACACAGCTGTTGGTTCCTCTTGTGTGTGCATTCCGCTATGAAGGAGATGAGGTGAACATGACATTGGCAAAATCGGAGGCTAAGATACTTCATGAGAAGATCTCTGATAAGGCTTACAACCACGAGGAGCTTATCAGGATTCTGAGTACAAGGAGTAAAGCACAGCTTAATGCAACCCTCAACCACTACAACAATACGTTCGGTAATGCCATCAACAAGGTATATTTCTTCTTTCCAGTCTTCCAAGCATTCCTAGAATCATGTTGTAAAGTAATCAAGCAAAATTGTGCAATTATTTAATCTTGATTTCCATATTTTTATTTTTGAAATGCCTGAGAAATAGAAATTTATATATATGTAATGTTTTTTATTAACTAAGAATGTTTGTAGAAGCTATTTTGACTTCTAAAAATTTCACATTAACCTTATATTTGAACTTCTACATTAAACCTTATATTTGAACTTCTAACCTTAACAATGTCAACTCTTATTGACATTCAAGATTGCCTCTTTGGTTGGAAATTGATGCATTGATTATGGGTTCGAACAGTAATTTGCTGTAGTTTAAACTGATATGGGGTGTGTGGTTGCAGAATCTGAAGACTGACCCCAAGGATGAGTACCTCACTCTACTCCGAGCAACAATAAAGTGCCTGACCTGCCCAGAGAAATACTTTGAGAAGCTTCTCCGATTGGCCATCAACAAGACTGGTACAGATGAGTGGGCTCTCACTCGAGTCGTCGCAACTCGTGCTGAGGTCGACATGCATCGTATCAAAGACCATTACCAGAAGAGGAACACTGTCCCTCTGGATCGTGCAATTGCTGGAGACACCTCTGGAGACTACGAGAAAATGCTTCTAGCCTTGATCGGACATGGGGATGCTTGAGCATACTTCCTTGCTCTGCTTTGAGAGTTACTTGCAGTGTGAGCACTGTTTAATGTCTATTATTATCTATTCTGCTTTACCGTATTGTCGCATGTAATGCTGCTGTGTTTTGTGGACTCTGTTTTTATGTACTTTTCCCGGTTTGATGAAACTTTAAACTAGAGAAATATGGCGTCGTGTATTCGTGCTGCTTTTCTCCTGGTGTGTGCTTTATTCAATCAGGTGTGCCATGGACCTGAAACAATCGATCAAATTCAGCTTAGCAGAGGCCAGAGGGTCCCAATTGTTCTCCAAGAGGCCATAAAAGAGTACCCTTCTGTTGGTTCCCTTCATTTTTTGATGGTTTACACACGTACTGTCACACGCTAATGTCGCACAAGGAACTCTAAGCATCAATCTCTTCTCATTTGAAAGAGAAGACGACACTATTTTGGCTAGTGGGTCCTGCTTTTGCATTAGCCTTGACTGCTTTTACAGGAGGACCCATCAAGGTGGGTGTTTTTTTCACCCCGCTTCTGGTAAATATGTGAATCAAAATGTCCTTGAACCTTTTGATCAAAAGATGAAAATGATCCTCATAAAAAGACCAAATACCCCTCCTTTCATTTCTCTTGCAAAGATCAAGTACCGCTAAATTTGCTTCACCTTTCAGTGTTTCTCACATCCACAAACTCCATACTCTGGTCACAACCTATCCAACTTTCTTCTCACAATCTCTTATTTTCTTACAATAATTAATAATTTGAAACACGGTTAGCCTGGTTGGAAAAGACTTGGCCTTGGTGCCTCATGAAGTATCATTTCAGGATCGATTCCTGTCAGGTACAAACAATTTGTTGGAGAGGGAGGTGTGAGTACCCATTTGGAAAAAAAAAATAGTAATTTGTCTATAAACAAATTACATAAACATAACACTAGAATTATAAGGCACTTCATTAAGATCAGCCACCTAATAGTATGTCTTTTCGTAGAGAGTTCAAGTCTGTCTATTTCATTCAAAGTAAAAAGTAGAGAGATCAAGTCTACCAATGGTGTATCGTGGTAGTTATTTGCCACACCAAATATAGATGAATGTGCTACTTCCAGAAAGTGAACCACCATTTTTGCAAGATAAAACTCTTGCAATTTCTAAATAAATTGTCATAACATGCACACAATGCTACATTTGATTATGGTTAATAATTAGTAATTTCATGATTAAACAATCAATCTAGCAAACGCACCACTCGAATTATTAAGTCACCACACCTTAATATGCATTACTTTTAGTACCCGCGTTAAATGGTTGTAAGTTGCAAAATAAATTGTCAAAAATCAGCACAAAGCATTGACATGGTTCTGGGCTTGGAGCACTGGTCATGATCCAACCATCCTCCCTCTGCAGATGAATGTTGTGAGTCATGGAAGCCATGTCAGAGAAGTACCCAAGAGAGGTAAGTGACTTATGTCCTCTCTATAGTTGTTCTCGGGCGATCACGATAGTCACAAGAACTAAGGGGCTTGCTTTGTTTGTCATTCAAAAAACAGTTTTGAGAAAATTGTACAAGATTTTTTGGTTCAGTTTTTTGAAAACTCAATTATAAAAACGTTTGTTTCAAAGAACTGTATTTTATTTTTATCTGAAAACAGTTTTCTTTTGAAAATTTTTTTAAAATTATTTTCAAAAAACGGAACCAAACAGATCTTAACTAACACACCCATTTGTTCCTGCAAAAACTTAAACCCTCACCTCAGTGGGCAAAGCCTTATGTAACAAGGCTATTACCATATCCAAATAAAGGTTTCACCTAACTGGGCAAAGCCTTATGTAACAAGGCTATTACCATATCCAAATAAAGGTTACTCATAGAATTCCTCGATTAGTTACATCAATTGCCTTAACAATAAAAAAAATTGCATGCGAAAACCATAAATATTACTTAAAAGTTAGACTCATTTTCCTTATTTAAATATGAATAGTTGATACTTCAGTCAAAACCCTTAAAGGGTATATATAGAAGTCTCTTCAATCACACAAAATTAAAACCACACGTTCTACATTCAGTTGACAATTCAGTCAAAAATCCCCCGAAGCGTTTATATACAAGCCTCTTGAATCTCACACAAATTAAAAGCTGAAATTAAATGAAAAAAAAAAATAGAAAAAGAAAAAAAAAAAAAAATCCACATCCTCTACATTCAGTATCTATAGTTTTTTTTTTTTTTTCACAATTGGATTTTAACATGAAAATGGATAGCAAAAACAACAAATGTATAACTCAAGTATAACACAATGACCAAAGACATGTCCCTCTTCCATCCTGCACACACAAATTGGCCCAAATAATCCAAAATTCACATTTCATCTCCCATAAGCTGCACATTGTATCCATTCTTCATGTCTGTATCAATTCAAAGTTCCAAAATAATGTTAGAAAGGCCACAAGAAACTGTATAAACATTAAAACAAGCACCTGATCAAATTATCACGTGTGTGTGTGTGTGTGGACATGAAGCTGAACTACCAAAAAACAGGAAAAAAGTGCAGAAAATATGAGGAATATTGAATATTACTAGTAGGTATCTGAACCTGGAACAACCAGAAAACCTACATCAGCTGAAAGAGTCCGGATCCTCTGCTGTACTCGTTTTGTGTTGTACAAGCGCAACACACTTACTTTGAGCATGCTGCTTACCAAAAAAAATCTTACCAAACACACATATTTCAAGCATACAACACAACTATTTTGAGGTGCAACGCAATTAATCGAGGAGTGAAATAATGATGTTGATCCCCAATTAATCATGTTACAACTGCGATTTAGTTGTGTTGCATCCTCAAAATATTGTGTTGCGCACAATACAACACAATATTGTGCACAACAGAGGATCCGGACTCCAGCTCAAAAACGCAACTTGAGATTTCAAATAATCAAGATGGTGGACTAATAATGCTTTAACCGATAACATCTACCTTTAAGTTGTAAGACAAATTCAGAGTTGAAAATTATGTAATTGAAATGTTAACACTTGCAATCTTAGTACCAATAGTTGATACGAACAATTCCACCCGTAAGATGCATAACAAGCAAGCTTAGGATAACTGGATGTTCGATTTTGTGATATTTTGTTCCCTAAATTTAGAACTTTAGACACGAAATTTTAAAGCTATGACAGCAAAATCTAAATTTAAAAATGTCAGTGGATGAATATTATTAAAAGAAGATTAGTCACTAACATCAAAAGAAAGGGGCCTCAAATAAATATATCTAGTTTTATTAGGTGGTTGTTCTTGCTATACACTAAACGGTACACAGAAACAGCCAATGCATGTTTCGTAAGAGGAAAACCAGTTGAAATATGTGCAGAAGCTTAAACATAATCACTAGATCCAACAACTAGAGGTTTCAATGAAGAAAAAGAAAAAGAATAAAAATAAAAAAACCAAAAACTAGAGGTGTATGATCAGTTTGAATAGGCAAAACAACGTGCTAAAGAAACGGTAACCATCGATATATGAGGTTTATTGTTAAACCACAAAATCTCTTAGGTTGGCTACTCTATGAAAAGCCATGTCTGCATTGAAGTCTCGTTGTTAGATGCAAGTTACCACTAAAGTTACACTATTAAACTAAAGATCGTCCCCTAACAGAAAAACATAATCATAGTACCTTTGATTGAAGGTTTTGCGTACTTGTCTTTCCTCTCGTCCTCATTCTTCCATTCACAATCGTCTTCACCCATTTCATCCCTTCCATCATTTCCTATATCACTTTCACTTGCTGTCTCCCATTCAGAATCATCAGTCTCTTGGCCATAGGTGTTGCCATTGTCACCTTTGCAGTGGATGCCCCCATGTTTGATAGCTGCCTCACTAAATAACCAAGCTGCACGCATCTGCTTCTTGACCAAACGCTCAGCATAGTCAGGAACCTTGTTTTGCCTTGAGGAGATATCAGGATCAGGTGACAGAGAGCACTCATTTATGAACAATATAGTGTCTAACAAGCTTTCTTTAGCTAACCCAAGCATATCATAAGCCCGAGCTCTTCTCCAAAGGCTATTGGCATGACGGTTAACCGGGTTATGAAGACACAGTGCTCGTGTGGCGTCACTTATGGCCTCCAATGGTTGTTGCAACAAAAGATGACACTGCGCTCGATTACTGTACAGCACAACCCTCTCTTTTTTCAATCGCATTGGACACACTGCCAATGCTTCTGAGTACTTTGATGCTGCTCCTGATATATTTCCTGACGAGAACAGAGAATTTCCTTCAAGCTTTACCACTAATGCTTCTACCTGTTTGACATGGAGATCCTCTTTCGGCATATTCTTTTCCAATTTTAGTCTCTGTTTAGAACTTAAAATCTCCTCGATCTGTTCTTTAGTGCATTTGCTGAGAGAGTTCCGTCCTGTCCCTTGTGATTGGATACATTCCTGAAGAACATTAACAATGGAATCCCCAAGCTTTTTGTGATCCCCTAGACTTGATATTTCAGCAAGGTCCACAAGTGCAGGTACCGCCTCATTAATCACCTACACAACAAATCATAAAATATGAATTCCATAAAATGTTTATGATTAATTAAGTGGTAAATGTTTGTAGAACATGATATAGGTATCTAGGTATAAGTTACCTTCCCTGAATTTTTCTCAAACTTGTTTGACATTTTCAGTCCCTTAAAAAGGTGCTATGTAGAGTCGGAACTTGAAAATGATTATTTGTTGACATATTTCTCGTCCAAAAAACTCATTAGACAAAAGGAAAAAAAGCAATATTGACCAATGTATAAGCACAAGATGGTAATTTTTCCAACCACAACCTTTAGATACAGCAACTCCTAAATGTAGCAAGGACATGTCTATACATCTATACATGTCCTCCTAATGTTTTTAGATTTATATTTGTTTGTATTTGTGTCTCTGTAGAAGAACCAGAGAGAGGACCGTGACAGATATGTAATAACTTACGATAGGCTAATAACTTTGGTTGGGTCCATAATAAACCCATATTCACTTTGTGTCTTTGTCTTTAAGTGTCCAAATTTGTATCTGACATGGAAGACAGAGGCGTTGAATGTGTGAAAGGAATTATTACACATCTAACATACTCAATATCTTATTATTCTCTGTTGTGCCAAACTATACTAATAAACATTCTCAACTCTTAAACCAATTCTCTAGGACCTTAATTGGTGATATACGGTTACAATATTGAATTACTCATGACAAATTACCAAACTCGAATTCAAGTTATGGACGAATTGCTTTGATTTTTGCTGAAATTCTCTAAGAAACTTCTCGAGTCCTTAAACTATGTTTTTTTAACCTTGCATTTTTGCAGAGTTTTGCTGGATTTCTTGAATTGTTACTTTTGAATTTTCTGAGCACAAGTATTCTACTTATAAAGTTGCAACAGCTCATTAAAGCTTCAATAATCATGCTTTAGTTGTGTAATTCACATTGGGTTTGGCGGCTTAGAAGCCCACAATTTCAGCAATTAGCAATAACTGAATTCCAACTACTTTGGTTTCAACCTATAGGTTGGGTCAAATATTCTAATCCTCTTGAAGGTGCCTTTTCCGTGTCAATTTCAATCATGTTAAACTTGGAGAGCCACCCAACTTATTGTTTCTTAGTTTTCTCGTTTCATTCATGGCTTTGTGTTGGTTTTAGCTATTTTATGGTTCCCATGTAACACTTTTCCTGTTACGTCAGTTTATTTGTATTTAGTCCCTGACTGTAGAGCACATCACCTGATGTTCACTAAACTTCATTTATCAATTTAATTACTTCTGAATTGCTTTGCTAATCCTTTGGCTTCATTTTTTACTTCTCTTTTAAGATTACTATTTCTATTACTCTCTCTCTTTCTTGTTTTAGAATAATATTCCATGTCTTGTTTCTCTTTTCTCTTGTCTGGTTATCCCTGTTACTTGAGATTTAATCTACTTCTACCAGTTTACCTGTTACTCGAGATTCAATAGTACTTCCGCCAGTTTACTTGTAATATATTTTTTTGATAAGTAAGGTTTCATTAAAAGGCGCCCAAGAGGGGAGCGCTCCCAAGGAAATACACAAAAACCGATAATGACCAACTATAATCTAAAGGTATCAACAAAATCCACAAAATCACCCACAAATTTACAATTTCGCCCATTTATCCCAAAGAATAAAGAAATAATGATGATGTACTTGAGAGACCAAATAGGAGTCTCCTTTCCATCAAAGGATCTCCTATTCCTCTAGCGCCACAAGCCCCACCATAAACAAAGGGGAGTGGCCCTCCAAGCATCCCTGGCTCGGCTCTCCACTATACACCCTCTGCAAACCTCGATCATGCCCACCGTGGAACTGGGAGACACCCAATGCTTACCAAACAAAGCCAAAAACATAGACCAAACATCCCCCGCCACTGGACAATGAAGAAGAAGGTGGTTCACAGACTCCTCCGCCTTCTTACTTGTAATATATTAATATGTTACAAGTACCACTACCATTTTACTCATGGTGCCTCTACCATTATACTTGCACTGGTACTCTCAACCTTGTATTCTCTAAAATGATTTTCTATATTATGATCTTCAAGGTTGGATTACTCATTTCATCTAGGTTATGCTGCTTTATCGGGTAGTCTAAGGGAATCAAATTGACTTCACCTCAGATTGCTCGGGCATGCTCTCTGTTACTCACTAAATGCTACAAACACTTTCTTTCTCAGCTAAACCACTTGCTCTGTGTTTTTGGGCAGAACTACTAACCACTCTTAGCTAATAATGCTCAACTACTCTAGGCTAACTGCACTCTGTTGCCCTGAGTATAGAATGCTTGTTCTCATTGTTAATATGTTTTACTGTTGGCATCATTTTCTCTTCTTTTTTGATAGGTACTGTTGGCATCCTTTTCTCAAAGGAGAAGAATAAACTCATTTGCTTGTTATAAGCCCAAATCTGAGTACTTTATGCTATAATATTTCAAGCACAACAGGCTTTTGGCCACATTCCATTAATTGGATCATGAAGATCCTTTCCCTCCGGTGTTTTCAACATGTACTATCCCAAGTTAGAAGCATCCGATATTATATACAGTGCCTCTCAAATTTGGGTTAAACTTAGTAGACACAATAAGTCCTTTGACCTTCATTGTTACTTGCAAGATCAAATTTCCTTCTTTAAATTGTTGTTACTTGACAAGGTTGTCACAAGCTCGAGAGGCTAGCAACATATCACTTTGTTTTGTCTTCTACTTTTACACTCCACTCATCAAATAACTCAAGCTCCCTGATCCATTTAAAGAGTTGTTTTAAATGGTTAATACAACCATTTCGAACATCGATTAAATCTGAAAAACCTTTGACAACTACTAATTAAGCACCAAACATAGGTCAAGGAAACAGTGCATCGTCGCACCAGTATCGCATCAGTCTATGTTATTGTTAGAACTGTGGGGGAATAATGTTTGGAAACTTCTCTAAATCAGAATCCTATAAGGCTTAAGTTTCTTTTTTCAATTACAACTAAGAAACCTTAATTCATTGGATTCAAAGCATTATATAAAGACCTCTAGGCTCCAAACACATGTAGAGAATATACAGAGAGATCTCTAAACATTATTGAGAGATCAAATAGAGATAGATCATATATTTAGAACATATGTTTTTCAGAGTGTTGATCATTATCTTGTGGAGTTTACATCATCATCAACACTGCAGTGTTTCTATAAAACAAACACACAACCTGAACGACTAGTGGCTAAGACTAAATTATGCTGAGACCGAATCACGGTGGATAAGCAGATTCATGAGGAGCAATATTTATTAATGAGCGGATGGACAACTTGGAGACTTTCAAGGGAAAGTTTGGCATCGTTTGTGTCAGAAGTAACTAATGGTTCTAGAGTTTGGAAACTGTTAACCTAGTTGTAATATATTTCTCACAAGGTGTGATATTTTCACATTGGGATTCTGCACGTAAATATCGTGTGTTCTTGTGTGGTTGCATGATTTATTTATTTCTGCTCTCTATATTTAACTTATTCATATTGTTGTGCTAACTCTACTATCATAGCCTCACAATCTGGTCCTACATTCTATCAGGGCTAATATTTGTCCTCTTTTTTTGTTGGGTTTTGGGGAGAAATTGTAAATCAATGGGGGAGATAGTTGATTTTTTGGACTCTTTGGGACTTTAGAGGCTTTTTGGCCTTGTGTAGCTTTTATGGGATGTGTTCCCCGTTTAAATGCTTTCTAATACAATCTTACTTATCAAAAAAAAAAAAAAAAATAAGCCATGGCATCAGAGCTACGATCTTAGGAGGTCTAAGGTTCAAGACTCCATTTGCATGTGTTCCTCCATTATCTGTTGAATCTGCACTATTTTTCTGTATTTCCTGTCTGTTCACATGCAGAAGGGTGTCGCACATGAGAGGGTGTAAGAACTTGATATACATTTTCATGCTTTTTCTTTAGCATGTTGAGACTTTTGCGGCAAGTGGTTGTCTAACAAGTTAAAGGTCCAACAGCTGTGCATATCAGATTTGACCCCGCAAATGAGTCTTTAGATATATATTTTTTTCTTTTCCCATTTTCTTTTTATGGAATTGATCAAATTTTTATTGAGATTCAATCTTAAAGGCACTAAAAGATTTGACAGAGAGTGATATTTCATTGACATCGATACATAAACAGAGAAACTAAGCTAGAGGAAACCAGAATTCGAAGGATCTGTTTTTGGATTTAATAGATGACTGTAACTAATGTGATTATAAGGATTTGATAAACAAAAGTATATAGATATAGAAGTTATTGAAAAGAGCATAATGTTAGAATCTGCATGTGAGCAATCCTCAATAAGCAATCAAGTTAACCTTTTAACCATTAATACTCAGCAAGAAGAATTTCCATGTAAAGATTTCCGAAAATGAACTCATTTTGAAGAATTTCCATGTAATAAATTTCCAGAAATGAAAATAAATTTATGACGAGGAGTAGCTAGCATAGATCTGAATGAGTATTACCTTATGACAGGTGCTTGGATCTTGGAGCAACCAAAGAAGACAATCAATAGCCATATACTGCCAATCGTCTGATGAGCGAGCAATATTACACAATGCTTCAATAATACCAGGACAGCTAGCCACGGGTCCCCTTCCAAGCTTATGATGACAAATTGTTCGTAGTAAACCAATACCAGCTGGTGAAGTTTCATTGACAAGTCCGCCCCACATCCCTGGTAATTTTACTAAAAATTCTGGTTTGCATACAGTAGAAAGAAATTCGGGTTTAAATGCAAAGCAATTAATAAGTTGAAGGGACCAGCACTGCAGCTGACTAGCCCATTCCTCTGCCTTCCTGGACTCCATTTCAACACCACCCATGCCACGTGTAAGTAGGTCACAGTGATAACTTAGCCTTCTGTCAACATACTGGTAAAAGTGAGAGTAAACAATTTCAAGTGAACTCATCGCTAGTTGAATAGAAAGCTCAAGGATCTCACCGTGACTTGCGACAGCAGGAAAAGTGCTGACATATGTAGCCAAGTGACCTAGAGCTCGTACAGCTACTCTCTGTTCAACCCAAGTTAACCTCCCTCCTAGAAGTTCAACTAAGGGAGGGATTACACCAGCATGGACGGCACTTTCAGCAAATTCTTCCATGTTCATGGTGTAGGATCCAATTATATGTGCAGCATAATAAGGAATATATACATTTTGGTCATGGGAAAGCCAACGGCGGTTCTTGAAACCCTTCCAAATGAGTGCTGCCATGCATTCAAATATTCCCAACTCAATGAATTCAGGATCATTAGGATGCGTCATCGCAGTGTTCCAAAGACCACTAATAGGGAGAACCTGACCATCGTCATCCTGAGAAGGAAGTTCTTGGAAAAATTTCAGTACACTTGCTTTGCGTTTACTTGGGTTTCCTACCTTCATGACACAGAAGAAGCATCCCGGGTATGGACAACCATGGGATACCTTATCCATGCTCACACAGTGAACTATTTAGTACCCACAGGGCATGAAGTTAATTCCTCCAACAACTGCAAAGATCATATGAGAAGATTAGTTTAAGACCCATAAGAAGATTAGATGCAAAATATGAAGTTGTCCACAATTTTGCTACAACAGCATTTTTTTCCCCTGGGAAAGGTCCACAGATATATTTGCATTTAATTGAGCATAATTTACATTAATTTCTGAAGAAATACCGAACATCGCGAAAACAATTTTAAATTACTACATCCCATAAACGATTATCTTATTAAGCCTGCAATATGAACTTTTGGATACATTTCCATGGTAAGCCATATTAGTTGACGTGCAATTACGTGCAAACCACAGTACATAACTCTGGGAGAGTTGAATCGGAGATGTTTGGCTGTTCAGCTACCATGTAACCAACTTGGCTACCAGTGCAACTTCCTCCACGATTTCATTTTTTCATGTTTTTGTACTAAATTACGCCAATACAAATATTAAGGAAATAGTTTCAAATTGTTATTTCCAAAATTATTCTAGAAATTATAGAATGACAAAAAATACTTCTACTTCCTGTTCTCTACCTTTTCCCTTAACCAAATTCCTTTTAAGTAACTGAAAGTACTGTCAAAATTCTTGCTCAATCTTATCCATAGCAACAGCTTAACGACTACTTCGTCAGTATTTTCCAAACTAACTCCTTGATTACAAAATAATTCCCTAGGAAAATAATTTCTAGAATGTTAGAAGGGTCTTGGACAGAGATCGCTGACAATTGTCCAAAAGTTGTCTACAGAAATGACAAACCCTCACAAAATTCAATCACTTGGGAATTAGGCTTACAGTTAGTCACACAAATGAACATAAAACACAATATTCAAAATATTTCCTCCCACAATTTAGATATATCTATGTATATATATATATAATATTTCTAAATAAGCTCTGAACCAAACACCATCCTTGTATCCCACTGCAGCTGCAACTTGAAAGAAAATCAGAAATTCAAATTCGAACAAAATTCCAAATTGTTGAAGTTCTCAAATAACCATGACAGCTTCATCAAAGTAATGGCAACTTGACATTGTACCGTCTTCTTATATGTTTATATTAAGTTTCAGAATCAAATTTCAGTTCTTCTATCAGTAGCAAAAATCAACAATGATAGTTTGTCCACACTCCACAGAACTCACTCATTAATTTACACAAAAATCATAATAATTCTGAAGCACAGAATAACCATCTCAGCATTAGCAAATGAACAAAATGGTAACAAGAATCCAAATCAACTAGATCCGAAGAAGATTAAATTTTCCAATCAACTTAAAAAAAAAAAAAAAGCAAAAAAAAAAAAAGAAAAAAGAAAAGAACAGAAAAAAAAGAAGCAAAACCCTCAAGTCTTAAAGTAAAGATTCAATTATTAGGAAACCCTAATCATAGACTATAAACATGAAAAACAAAAACAGCTATTGGTCATGAATCAAGAGCAGTAATATACTCATACTCATACATTCATGTATGTGTATGTGCGTATATATTATATATATATATATATAGAGAGAGAGAGAGAGAGAGAGAGAGTAGAGAAGATACCTCGGAAGTATCAGCTGCTAGAGATGAGTGAGAAGAAAAGGGTTTTAGTTAAATTGGTTCGGACAAAGAAAGTGTTTGTTGTGTTGCGCAAAAGCAATTTGCTTTTGAAATAACGGAAAAGGAGGGTAGAGTAGTAGAGGAAGTGGGAGGTGTGTTTGGATGATTTTGACAGCACAGAGGATATCTTTGTAATGAAAGTTATTTTTCCCTTTGTAAATGAAAATACCACCACTATTAATTCTTGGAAATAGATTTTGCACCTCAAGCGCTTTTTTTCACGCGCCATTTTGCCTTATATAAAATTTCGGATGAGTACACTTACCTTCCACATAGACGGTCTACGTAACTTATGGTTTTAAATATAACATTGACTTCTTTTGTTAGTGTTTTCTTTAACATGAATGTGTTAAATGACTATTATATTCATTATATTTTTATTATTTTAATATAAAATATATGCTTTTTTATGGACAAAATAATATTTTAAAGCCTTTTAAGGACTTTATTGGATTTTAAGTAAATATTGAATATAACATCATTAAATAAGAATGTCACATTTAATAACAGGGGAGGTTATATTTAAAATTATAGAGGATTTTCTTGTTATCTAGGCAATCTATAAAGGAGGTAAGTGTAATTATTTCATAAATTTTATTTATTTACTTTTTATTGTCTAGTAAATGTTAAAATCATGGACGTAACTTAGTAATACTTTCTCACACGTTCTAATGTGAAAGGATGAAAACATCAAGTGCACATGGGAGCAAGTTGGTACATGCATTATTTGTTAAAAAAAAAAAAAAAAAAAAAATGTTTCTAACTATGCATATCTAAGCAAATTTGCTATCTTCCGCAAATTATCAATTTTGTTTAAATTATGACCCTAACTTGCGATTTTAATGTAATAACTCTAGGACCAGTCATTAAACTATTACCGGCGGTGGATTATAAAATGCTTTATGAGATCCGACATCACTATAGTCAACAAAAAAAGAAAAAAAAAAATGAAAAGAGAAAAAGAAAAAAGGGGCATTGATATCTCTTAAATCATGACTATAACTGGAAATGGCAAGATATCAAGTCTTTAGGATTCTGAACGATCGAGATGAGTTTATGTATATGCAATGTTGGAGGAATGTAAGTACATATAAAACAATTACCCAAAGTATATGGGACGGAAAATTGTATGTGTTCGGTGGTAGATTATAAGGTGCAAAGATATTTGACATCATCATTCTAAATAATTAAAATAATCATATAAATGATACATTTGCATTAAAATAATAATAATAATAATAATTCCCAATTGTAGAGTATGAGTTTTTTTTCTTGTCCATAGTGTATTTATTATTAAGATTTAGATAAGAGATATATTATCGTTTGTTTTTACTCATTTTTGGATGATGTTCATAGTTAAAGCATTTCATAAAGGATCCAAAATTTTCTTGTATGGAAGAATTGATTTCTAGTAGATTGAAAAGTAATAATCTACAATTTGAAAATTTTTAAATATAGAAAAATTCAATAAACGGCAACCTTTTAAAGAGTGAATCCAACCATGGAGATGCAAATAAATGGAGATGTAATAAATCAATGTGCAAATTGGACACTAGAAGAGAGAACAAAATAAAAATGTACACTTAATTTTGTACTCTGATATCATTTTCATTATTAATTATTTTTAAAACTTATGTTCAACGAACCTAAATGTACAAATCTAGTTCTAACACTCGAGATTTGTACGCTTTAAAAATCAACAAATCACAAAAGAGTCATGTAGAAGTTAACTATCTTATTTAATTTTGGGAGTTAAATATCTAAAGGTCCTCTACATCCAACTATTAAGGGTGCCAAAACAATTGATGGTGAATTAACTCATAAACACTGAGTGTGTAGTCATGATTGATTGAGGGCCAAATACCTCATTGCACGGTTGATATTTAGTTTACTGGGGTTATCAATCAATTATATCTAAGAGGGTCAAAAATTTCACTACATTAGTTACACTAAGTTATTAGTGTCATCAATTGATTATATATGCAGAGGAACTAATACTTCACTAAATCAAGACATTGGTGGTACCATGTTATTAGTATTATCAATTAATTATAACTTGTCATATAAGTAAAAATACATTTATTTTAGTGAATCTCATCATTATGTATTAGTATTTAATTAGTGGGTGATACCGTGTCATTGATATTCCAAGAACATTAAACTATTTTTTCATACAATGTTTAGTTATTATATGTCATAGCAATTTGATTGTAATTGACATTTTATGTTAATGCAAAATGTGGTTAAATGTTTTTACACACACACACACATATATACATGTATATATATATGGAAAATAATGTGTATTGATCAATTCATGAGATAGATTGGGGTGCCCTGTAATTATACGGATTGATTCATGTGTATAATGGGTGTTCATATTGTTAAGGTTGTATGTCCTGCAAAACCATTATTGACATTTATTCTAATTTCTGATTTATTAATCTTCATATAATATTGATGATACTGTACTGGTTAGATCTAGAGATTCTGATGTCCGTTGTCCATTAATTATGATAGGATAAATTCATGTGCACAGACGACAAATATGATAACGGAAAATTTTCATATATAAGTTGGCCAGGCTTATACATAAAAATTAGGAGACATCTGTTAGAATTTGTGAATGAAAATTGTTTCATCAGTCATCAACGATGCCTTGGGCTGAACATGTGTGATCACTAGTTGGTTGTGGGATGAAAATATGCAACTAATAGCCAATAGACATAACCTATTAAATGTGAACCATTGTAACTTATTGCAGTGGGTATGTCTGGTGATAAAAAGACACATATAAATGGTTGTGTCCAGTGATGAAGAGACACACTCAATCCGAAAAAGGCACTTCTATTTCTATAAATACCCATTGGGCTGCCATTTGCAATTCGTTTAATTCATTTTCTTTTTTCTCCCTCTCTAGACTTGAACCTAACTTAAGTAGGTTCAAACCATAGGTCAAGTGGTCGTAGCCACTTAAACCCTAATCCAATTTCATCGAGCTATATTAAGATTGGTTCGAATCATTTGGTTCGGATTGCACCCAATTTAACATTTATATAGTATAAATGCATTTTTAAGTTAGAAAGAGTATTACACAGATGAGGTGGTTCGCTGTATCCACGAGTTTGTAGTGCTGCTACTGGTGGATGTAAACCGTTGTATCTTGGGAGACAAACGCTACAAAATTCGTTAGCATCACGCAAGGCGTAAATTGTCTTAATGACATAATATTCAATACTAGTCTCGGTCTAAGTTCTTTATTTATTATTATTATTTTATTGTTTTAATTTGCATGTTTAATTAAATATCGAGTTGTATATTTAATTAATTATTTTTTAGCATATTATTAATTATCTTATGGCATATTAGTATAAGGTTAATTATATCTTAAATGTCATTTAAAGCATATAATTTTTACAACAATCTTAAGACAATTTATTCCTTATGTAGATTTTATTATATGTTTTTATTTAAGATATAAACAAGTAGAGATTATATTAATAATTGAGATATAATATAATAATGTTATATACATTCTTATATGCTAAATATTGATGTGTTCGATATTATGTGAAATCGAAGCATGTTATATAAGTAGATTATATAATTTAATATTGGTTGAATTATTTTAATTTTGCAATATGTTAATATGTAATATATTATATTTGTGCCAACTAGAGGTGGTAAAAGGGCACTTCTTTACTTTTATCAATGATTGCACAAGATACTATTATGTATATTTGCTATGAAGTAAAGATCAAACCTTATAAATGTTTAAACATTACAAAAATTAGTTTAAGAGTCAATTTGGCAAAAAGATCAAGGTGTTAAGAAATGATAGAGGTGGTGAATACAAAACATCATGTGCTGATGTTTGTTCAGAATATGATATTATTCATTAAACTACCATTCCCTACCTCAACAGAACGGTGTTGTTAAATGCAAAACTATACATTAAAAGAAATGATGAATGTTATGTTGATAAGTTCTGGTTTAACTCAGAATTTGTGGGGGAAAGTTTTGCTTTCCGCAAATTATGTTCTCAATAAAATACCTCAACAGAAAACTAATGTGACACCATATGAATTATGGAAAGGTCGAAAACCTTTTTATAAATTTTTAAAAGTGTGGGGGTGTCTAACTAAGGTTGCAGTTCCTACTCCTAAGAAAGTTAAAATGGGACGACCTTGTGGGTGGGTGTGCCATGGGTAGGTGCAAGAGGCACTAACAAGTTACCACACTGGGTGAGTTACAGGTGCACAGTCCCACATAACCTGGAAAGGGAAAGGTGAAATGCTTTTATGTGGTGTTGTTATCTCCAATTGGTATGAGGTCTTTTGGGATAAAACCCAAGAACAAAACCGTGATGGTTCAGGCCCAAAACAGACATTATCATACCATGTGGTAGAGTGGATGATTACATAAAACCTTTGATAGGCTATGCTTATAACAATAATGCATATCATTTTCTTGTGCATAAATCATACAATGAAAATAAGGATGAGCTTAGACGTAGCTGGAGGGCTAGAACGTCTAAATCCTTTGGTCCTAAATTTCTAACATATTTATTGGAGAATGAGCCACAAAGCTATAAGGAAGCAAAGTCTTCTTCTGAATATTATTATTAAATTATTTCTTAAATTAATTATATGATATAATTAATCATGTGATATAATATTAAACTATATTATTTTATGTGAGTTCAATATTTTTTTTTTATAAGTGGTTACTTTTATTTGATACTATAATATTGAGCTATGTAGTTGAATTACTTAGTGTGCATAGGAATTCGATTTTACAATATAGTTTATTTAATGTGTGATATTATTAATTTTGTATCAGTTCATGACTGGTTTGTGTATTTAATATAACAGACAAAAATTGATTAGTCCAACTATGTCAATACTCCTGATAGTCATGGAAAAAAGATCTATACTAGTGTCTAAGACATGTATAGCAGTGAATGGGCTGAATGAGAGGAGATTTTTCGATAACTCTAAAGAGTTTAATGAAAAATGTTATGGATACACTAAGCTAATACATTGAGCTAAAAGTGACAAGCTA